ATATATATATATATATATATATATATTGTTGTACAACTTGAGTGTTTCGTACATGTAATAAAACATTGAATGATAAGAACGAACAACACATTTCCCCATCATCTTCTCTATCTTCTCTAGCCATTAACGTGTTATTTGTTTTCTAACAGGTACTAAAGTCTGAAATCCTTAGATCACTTTTTGATTGATAAGATGTGGTGCTAAAGTTTAAAGCATAATCAATAAAATTGTTTGTATTTGTAAACTTATGGATGCCTGAATCTGTATAATCTTACCCTTCAAAATATTTTAATGTTGAATTTATATATATTATACAATTTTATCATTATATTCATCAGCATTACAAAATTTACATCTAAATTATAAACTATCAATTCCTTTTAACCAAAATATACTATCATCAATTTTAAATACATTCAACCTTCTTCTTTAAACAAGTCCTGCAATGAAATATATCTCTTCAATCGCATATTTGAAATCAACAAGACAAGACAAACATCAGGACTACTGTCATATGGAGGTAGTCCATCACAAACCAACACGGGGATCGATTGACACATATAGAGATCAACAACCTGGGACCGATTTAGGTTAACTGATTGAGAGAGATGAGGATCGATTTGTGAGGGTGAGGATTGATTGAGAGAAAGGACACTACTGCTTAGGATCTGGAGAATAATAAGAGGCGAATAAGGAGTTAATTTACCTCTTACCAGATAAGAGGATGCTGAGACATTAGCGCCTCCGAAAAATTAAAAAAAGACAAACAGTCTGAGTGAGGTCACTTCTTACCAAATTAGACTTAAGAAATAAGAGATTTCTTAAACAAGCAAGGCCAAACCAACACACCCACATACCAAAACACATCCACATACCATACCAACACAAATCCAAATCCTAAATCACCAAAAATCAAATCAAATCTAGACTCTAATCATCAAAACTCGACCGAAATCTAAACTCTAATTACCAAAACTCAACCTTAATCAACCCAAAACAACTCTAATAACGAAAACAAAGGATTAGTTAAGTGCAAGCTTCCTGGTGGAGATTAGCATCACACACCTCACCTCGATTGAACTGATTGTAAGTTTTCGGTATTCATTGTTGCTCGATGCCTGCTCCAATGTGGTGATTTGCAAAAGACGAACATACACTTGTTATTTATAGAGTTGTTCTTGGGAGTGAGGAATGCTTCAACTAGGTATATAGATGTATAATATTGATATATAAATAATATTAATGTATATTTATATTGTTTTTATTATTATATAATAATATGTAATATTAATTTATATTTTATTTTTTGAAAGAATATAATAAAAAGAGTAAAATGATTAAAATATCCTTGATTTAACATCATTAAAATAAAAAGGATTAGGTTAACGAACCAATCTACGATAAAATTGAAGCTATAATAATGATACATGTAATTAATTTGGTTGGTGATGTGATCCATAATTTTGATATAACCACAGGGACCAAATATGTAATTTTCTCAAAAAAGGGGGGTCCCAGTAGTAGGAGAAATGAAGGTTCAAACGTTAGGTGCATTGCGTAAGACCAGCCAATTAACGACGGACTATAAATTACAACCAGAGATCATAATCCTCCATAACGACCTTACCGTTGCCGGAATCTTGTAATCAACCGATGTTTTCGGTGAAATCTCTTCCATCAAATTATAATCGAGTGAGTTGGAACGGAGGAAAAATTAGCACAAGATCATCTTACATTATTAGAATTAGGTTTTGTTTAAGTTAGGAGTGACGAATCGGAATGGCGGAACGAGAATGTCTTCCGACAATGGATCTGTTGCGATCAGAGCCTATGCAGTTAGCTCGGCTCATCATTCCCGTGGAATCCGCTCATCGAGTCATATCGTATCTCGGTGAACTCGGCCTTTTTCAGTTTAAAGATGTATGTTATAAGACGCTTCATCGTTATGAAATAATGGCACATTTATTATACCTGTTGGTTGATGCAGGGCAATGTGACTGTTTTAGTTTTTGTTTATCAAATCGCATGAAGTTATGAAGTTTGTCTATCTCTTTGTATTCCTTTCATGTTATTGTTTTTTTCCTGACTGAATACTATAACATGATATTGTAGTTAGGGTTTTCTTTCTATCATGTTGTCTGATTCAATCTCTAACTGTTAGTCATTTATACTTACATGCATAAGTTAATGCATGTGCTATGTATGCCTAGTGTTGACGTATATACACAAGAATAACAAGGAGGTTCGTTCCTTTAGGAGTATCTGTTAGATTTAATCGAAATTATGGTCACTTCTGTATTTTAGAGATTATATCAGATTAGGGACTAAATTGCTTGTTAATGATAGAATACAATGGACCTGAAAGGATTGATATGGCATTGGCTACAACCTACAGAGTTCCTATTATGTTTTGGGATATCTGATTAAGAAAATTGTCTTGATTTTGTTTTGATCCATTTATTTTTCCTCTACATTGGTCTAACATTTTTACTTTTATTAGGGGTTCTTTACCAAAATTTATGGGTAAGTGTTGATTGAGATAAGAGGTCTGACTATAGTAACTGTTGATTAGGAATTCTTGTTTCCAATTTTAGCAACGAACGCATAGAATATGACCATTTTATGGTTTTCTAAGAACTCAACTACAAACATGACCAAGAACTACAAGTGTGCGTAGAATAATCTTAAGGTTATATCAGTAATTTATCCACTAGTGTATTGTATTGCAGTGCATCAATTTTAGGGGAGAGAATAGGGGTTACTTCTCACTCGACGTGTTTTTTGGGTCTTCCACGAAATATTGGCCTTGCTGAATTTGCATGGGAAAGTTATGAACTTTGTTCATTTTCCAATGAATCATTTCGGATAATAATATAAAGTAAGACTAAATATATTTAAAAACTACAAGAAAGATATAGGAAAACAACCCTTTCAAGCATCGTATTTGCTCGAGGAAGAGAAAGACCCTAAAGGTTACCTCGAAGTGTGCTAGATTATGTGCATACCAACGTTTAGGGGCTAACGAGAATTGCGTTGCTTGGCGATGGCCATTACTTCATCTCTTAAATAGACGATTTCTCGAGGATGTGATGGGTGTATGTGTTGAAGCACAAGTTGGAGAGGCACGACAAGTTTGAAGGTTGGTTGGTAGTTGAGAACCAAATGACTAAAAATTGAACATTCTAAGTTCGAGACAGTGGTGGAGAATACAACTACTCAAAGATCTTGTAATTTTGCTTGAAGAGAAGTATTCACGCCATTTTTTTTACTATATTAGGGGATCCGTAATTCAGTGGGTTTGTTGAAAGGATGAATCTTACTTGTTGGAAAGGCAAGGTGCAAAGTGGTTCATGGCAGGCCTTTCCAAGGGGTTTTGGACCGAGACATTATTTAATGTCGTCATGCACATCATGGACAGTATACCATGCTCGACAATTGGTGGGAAGATTCCTGAAGAGGCGTAGGAAGGGAAGAAGAATGTATGTTTAACTTGGAGCCCTGTGCTATCTAGGGTGTCTTGCTTCATTATCTGAAAGGGATCAAGAGATATCTTATAGCCTAAGTCAAAGAAGGTTATTTATTCGTGACATGTGATATTTTATGAGTCACATTTCTTCAAGTCAACCAGTACTCTTATCATCGTAGCTGCTAATACCGAGGATTTTTTGGTCCTTAGACTCTGATACCTAATAGTTTAAGGTGCCTATGGTAATTAGGTGTCTTTTTACCGTTCTGCCTCAACGTCTCTGCGTGTAGGGGTTGTTGAGGAAACAGTTGTTGAAACAACGATTTATCTCTAAAATCTCGCAACCACAATGCTGAGACAATTGAGGTTAGGGAGAATTTGAATCAAGGTGGAGCCGTTGATGAAATCCATGGAAATGTTGAAGACTCTCGAAGAAGCCAAAATACCTGGCATACTTCAGAGAGCTATGAGGATTGGTTGTATGCAAACATGAGCCTTGTAAACAACTAGATCATGAGTTCAGTGTCGTTTATGAGGATTCTTATGACTATGAAGAAACTTGTATATGTGATATGGTACTTTGTGGCTTGCAGTTATAAATGTAGAGATGCAGTTGTTAGAGAGGAACGAGATTTGGTCTCTAAAGCCACCATTGAAAGTGAACTATGCCATTATCTATAGGTGGATCTTCAAGATCAATGATTATAGACAATACAAGGCTATACTAGTAACGATGGGTTATTCTCAATGGAAGGGCATAGAGTATGATGAAATCATTGCCTTGGTGGTTAGACAATGATTTGTTGGTGCTTCACAAGACCTAGAGTTGGAGCAAATTGATGTGAAAAAATGCCTTCTTTAATAGTGATTTAGTGAAATACACATATGTGGAATGACAACAATGTTTTGAGGGGCAAGGCAAGCCAATTGGGTTTGCAAGCTACACAAATCATTATATGGCTTGAAATAGTTATCGCGATGATTGTACAAGAAGTTTGACTCTTTTAAGCTTATCGTAGCATAGAAGATGTATTATTATATGGGTGAAACCTAGGATTGCCCATTTCCAAAAAAATGTATAAAGGGTGGTTTACATTGACTTGTTCTTATACGATGATTATATGTTGATTGCTTCCAATGATACATAGGAAATCGATTAGTAAAAGAACAACTGAACTGTGAATTTGATATGAAGGACCTTGATGAAATGAAGAAAATTTTGGATATGGAGATTAATCGAGATAGAAAGTTGAAAACCACCTCAAACAGATTACCTAGGTATAGTTTTGAAGTAGATTGAACCTGCACAAGCAAAATATTGTATACTAGTTTCGTTAGGAGCATCATGTATGTTATGGTTTAAACAAAACCTAATTTGACACGGACTTGAGTAGGTGCATGTCTAAACTTGGTAAGACATATTGAGAGGTTATGAAGGGCATATTGAGATATTTGAACAAAACTTCGGACAAGTGGCATGTGTTCGATAGCAACGATTCTGACTATGAAAATGACAATGATCGTGCTACATCAACCTTGGGGTATGTTTTCAATCTGTACAGGACTGCCATTAGCTAGCGAGCTAGGTTGCAATCCATCGTGGCTTTATTGAGTACTGAAGTGGAATTGGTCGATGTAGTAGAAGCAAAAAATGAGACAGTTCATTTAAATTTTGTTGAGTAACGAGGAAAAACTTATATCGTTCAATAATATTTACATGGATAATAACGTAACTGATATTTTCACAAAACTATTGGATGCTGCAAAGTTCAAGCATCGTTCAAAGACCATCTGATTCCTCAGGTGTTGAAACTAAAAGTCGATGGTATGGAGAGATGATTTGTTGTGCATTTGTGCTGTGAGAGGATTGGTGTACATGCTATCGCTGTTGTGCGTCTATTGGCATGTGGATTTCGTATCAAAGTGGAGTGTTGAAATTGTTGACACCCAATGTACATAGAACACCATTGTGCACCAAGGTTTTGTTTGTCGGGGTTGCAATGGCGGGTCGCCAGAGTTCGCAGAGGTCGCCCCATCAAGGAGGCTACGATACACATTTTGGGACTAGGATGCGGTTGGTTGTGATCTACCCACCGTGTAGCCGGGAGATAGATCTGTATGACACGACCTAAAGCGACGAGCATTAGTCGCATATGGGAAATTCTTCCAGGGCTTGTTTCAATAAGTTCTTGTTTCAGCCACTTCTCCAAGCGCCAACTCTTAGAATAGGTGCCAAGTTAGTAGAAATTTTGGCTTGTGGAATTATAGTTGCATATTGTGATGGTAATTTCTCTTTATAATTCCTCCGTTGATTGCCTTGTCTCTCCATATAGATGTACACTTTTAAACGATAGTGGGACCACACTAACTTTTTGTTTGTTTTTTGCTTTCATTATATTTACGTTATCGGTTGTTATTGTTGTGCATTATCATTTGTTTGGGAGGTTGAACACATTTGGGACAAAAAAAAATTGCATCGTAGTTTGTTTGCTTACACATGTTTGTTATCTTTTTGGACCCGTATGTATTACTTTGGAAAAATTTCCCAATGATAGGTACACAACCTTTATCGATATGAACCTTCAATTTTTTGACAGTCTTTATGTTTTTTCATTTGTGTAGCTCAACATGGAAAAGAGCCCATTCCAAAGGACGTATGCTACTCAGGTATGTTAACTGTTCGTTACATATTATCTTTGACCTACCAGGTATGTTTGAGTTAACAGGTGCATGACTGGGCCTCATAGTATTTACCACTTCATATTTGTAGGAAAATAATTTTTACAATTTGATGATATGCAATTTAATGCTTTGCCAAGCAATTATATCTCATATAAGGGGTCATACAGTAACAAATGACTGAAAGTTAACTTATTAAACATCCTAAATGAAACCCACCACCAGCTCCTAATGATATTCATTGTGGCACTCATATTCAGAAAAATATCTTGCTATATTTAAGTTTTTTCATTGAATAAAATCTTTGTAGATTAAAAGGTGTCGGGAGATGGCACGCAAGCTACGCTTTTTCAGGGATCAAATGTATAAGGCCGGTCTTTTATCCTCAACATGGCCGACACATGGCTCAGAGATTAGTCTAGATGAACTAGAGGTAAATAGACCGACTAACATGGATTAATGGTGATCTTGCTATAATTTATATGCATCTTTTACGACAACTATTAGGTAAAACTTGGAGAACTTGAAGTCGAGCTGATAGAGATGAATGCAAACTCTGAAAAGCTACAACGTGCTTATAATGAACTTCTTGAATATAGGCTTGTCTTGAAGAAGGTAAGAGCCACTCCCAGACTAATTAATCGATATCATATAGTTTTTCCTTTGATTCCTCTAGATATGTTTAGCAACATTGCATATATTTTCAAGTCTAAGAGATTGTTCTTTTCTTTTTTGGTTCAGGCTGGTGAGGTTTTTTATCCTGCTCAAACCAGGGCTACAACTCAGCAGAGAGAACATGAACATCATCGTGTTGAAAGATCAATTGATAGTCCTCTATTGTTAGAACAAGTACTACTTTCTTATTTTTCGCTACTTGGTTGTTACTCTAAAATTTATGATGCTGCATCTTATCCTCCCATGGTTTTGAAGGAAATAACAGCCGATCTATCAAAGCAAGTTAAGCTGGGATATGTCAGCGGTCTTGTCCAAAGAGATAAATCAATGGCTTTTGAAAGGATCTTGTTTCGTGCAACTAGGGGCAATGTGTACTTAAAGCAAGAGTCGGTGGAGGAACCTGTTGTTGATCCTGTGTCGGGAGATAAGGTTACATGCAAATTCATTTATTACCACCGCAAAAAAATTGAACCATGTGATATGAGTTGTCCTTCATATAAATCTTGCAATTATGTATTAGGAATGTAGAGGAAATCTAAACATGTTCTCTTTATGATTTACGACTAAATCAACTCTAATTTTGTTCCTTTTCTTTTTCACGATAAATTCGTCTTAGCTAATTTAATTTACAGGTGGAGAAGAATGTCTTCATTGTTTTCCATGCCGGAGAAAGGGCGAAAAGCAAGGTATTGAAAATATGTGATGCATTTGGAGCCAACCGTTATCACTTTACTGATGACACGGGAAAACAATATCAGATGATCACAGAGGTATGTGTATTACAAAAAGCTTATGTGCTTGAATGTAGAGTATATCTACAAATTTGTTCCTTGAGTCTTTGTGCTCTAACAAAATTCTATTATGATTTATATGGTTTTGAAATTAGTATTATTTGGAATTATGTGTTTATTATTGGGGAAAACAATGTTGATTCTTTTTTACAACCATGGCGATAAATAACAACACCCTTTTCGTTGTCGCCTTTAATGTTCTTACAACCATCGTTGGCGTTATCCTTACAACAAGGGGATATCGGAAGGGGAATTTAATAAGGAAATAGAAGAGAGATTAGAGCTAGTAGACGGTGGTGGAGTGACAAATGTGAGGCCAAAAATCAAGTTACACTTGAATTCTATAAAAGGATTAATTAATCCAAAAGGAATGAAGCTATTGAGGGGCTTAACGTACTGATTGTGCCATTTATTTGCTTTACGATATATGGATTTCTTATTTCTGATATATCGAAGATGGTAACGATCGATCGATGATATGTTGATTGGTTCCAAGTATACTCAAGAAATTGATTAGTTGAAGAAACAGATGACCTGTGAATTCGGATATGAATGAAAGAAGATCTCTCGAGACAGAAAGTAATGGGACTTATATCAACCATAAGAGGCATCAAATGAAGCATTGTACTCGAAGCAACTATTGTGCCATTTTGTTAATAGATTATAAGCTCCTTCTATACTGCACCAGAATGTTTTGTCTGTGTGATGTTCATATCAATGCATGTTAAGATGGTAGAGATTAAAGCTTGTCCTTCAACCTGTTGTATTTCTTTTTCAAATGAATTACTATGTGAGTCCCTCTATACCAAAGAAAGAGCTGAGTTTGGTATTTACCGAACTTAAATATATCTTGTAATTGTAGGTGACTGGAAAACTTTCAGAGCTAAAAACCACCATTGATGTTGGAAAACATCATTGGAGCAGTGTGGTACAGGCTATTGGTCTTCAGTTTGAACAGTGGAACACTATGGTAAGTCTAAAGCATAAACAAACATACTGGCCTTGTTTATCTTATAGAGTCTTGTTTGATCACTATCATCTAAACTTGTGTTTTCAACCGATGAAAGGTGAAGAAAGAGAAATCCATTTACCACACTTTGGATATGCTTAGTTTTGATGTGACAAAAAAGTGCCTTGTCGCTGAAGGCTGGTGTCCTGTTCATGCTACAAGCCAGGTATCCTTGAAGTTGTGTCAACTCATGCTAGATTTTACGATTGAAAGATGTTAAATGCTTTCATTTTGCAGATTCAGAAGGCGTTGCTGCGGGCAACCATCGACAGCAACTCACAAGTAGGGGCCATATTTGAGGTTCTGCATTCTAAGGAATCACCACCTACATATTTCTGCACAAACAAAATCATGAATGCATTTCAAGAGATCGTAAATGCTTACGGGTAAGCACCTGTGAATACACTTGTGGCACCCATTTGATGAGAATCCAATTAGTTTGCTCAGTATTCACACTTGGATTTTCAGGGTGGCAAAGTATCAAGAAGCAAATCCTGGTGTATACACAGCTGTTACTTTTCCATTCCTGTTTGCTGTCATGTTTGGAGATTGGGGCCATGGTATATGCTTGTTTCTTGCATCATCATTTCTTATTCTCAAGGAGAAAAAATACTCCACTCAGGTAACTTCTGATTGCTTTTCTTGCAACATTAAATTGCATTCGTCACTTGCTGCATACATTATTATTTGTTATATGATCATCGAATTCTGCTGACCATTTTTATTCCTCTTTAATTCTTGCTCGTTTGACAACTACTTTTGTGGGTAACAGAAACTAGGAGATATCATGGAAATGGCGTTTGGTGGTCGTTATGTTATCATAATGATGTCAATTTTCTCGATATACACGGGACTAATATACAATGAGTTCTTCTCTGTTCCATTTGAGTTTTTCGGGCGCTCAGCCTATGCCTGCCGCGACTCTTCCTGCAGGTATCATATAATAGATCATTCTTCATATGTGATACAACACTGATGCCTACCACCTTGAAACACACTTTATTCCAGGGATGCTACTACTATTGGATTGATCAAGGTGCGAAACACTTATCCATTTGGTGTGGATCCTGTATGGCATGGAACCCGCAGTGAATTACCATTTCTTAACTCACTCAAGATGAAAATGTCAATCTTACTGGGAGTAGCTCAGATGAATCTCGGAATCATTATGAGCTATTTTAACGCCAAGTTTTTCCAAAATGACCTCGACATCTGGTAAGCCGCTTCTTGTGTATCATCATGTTCATGCATTTCTGGTGTCATGGTCTGCGATGCATGCAGTTAATCATGCATTTGATTACACGAGCCCGAGTCCATATAGACGCGGATGCTGGATACTAGCCAGATTATGTTAATTGTTTGTTCTACTTTTTTGAGTGAATTTTAGTCTATATAACCAGCATTTAAAAATCAGGTACCAATTCGTGCCCCAGATGATATTTCTCAACAGTTTGTTTGGCTACCTTTCTCTACTCATCATTGTGAAATGGTGTACTGGTTCTCAAGCTGATCTATACCATGTAATGATATACATGTTCCTGAGTCCCATGGATGATTTAGCCGATAATCAGCTATTCGTTGGCCAGAAATATCTGCAGGTTTCATATATGTAGTTATACTTGACAAGTAGTTTTCATTGCTGTTAACAGAACTAATGTGAGAATCTCCTATTGTCAGATACTGCTGCTATTTCTGGCACTTGTTGCTGTACCATGGATGCTGATTCCAAAGCCATTTCTTTTGAAGAAGCAACATGAGGAAGTATGCACAAAACTATCTCCAGATTTGTTATATTGTTATATATTTCCTTAAACTAATTACTATCATATTGTTTATCAGAGACACCAAGGTGGAGCCTATGAACCACTTCACACCCTCGATGAAAATCTTGAACAACAGTTGAATAACAGGTCCCGTGGAGGCGGACATGAGGAATTTCAGTTCAGTGAAGTTCTGGTGCATCAGCTAATACATACTATCGAGTTTGTTCTTGGTTCAGTATCTAACACTGCTTCCTACCTACGTCTGTGGGCGTTAAGGTGAGTTCACAACTTCATGGAACTTCTAAGTAATAAAACACCATTCTTTTCTTAAAATACTTCTAAGTGATTCATGATTTTTGAATCTATTTTGTGTTCAGTCTAGCACATTCAGAGCTTTCCAGTGTATTTTTTGAAAAGGTTCTGCTTCTTGCCTGGGGGTAAGTTACCATATTGCAGTAACTACTTTCAAATTGGAGAAAGGTTTCAACTAAACCATTAACTAATAAATACACTCTGTTGACCGCAGATACAACAACTCGGTGATACTTGCAATTGGTGTGGTTGTATTCATTTTTGCAACGGTGGGTGTGCTGCTGGTGATGGAAACGCTGAGCGCTTTCCTGCACGCTCTCAGACTTCACTGGGTAGAATTCCAGAACAAGTTCTATCAGGGAGATGGCTACATCTTCTTACCCTTTTCATTTTCTTTAATTAACGACGACGAAGAATGAATCATGAAAAACAATTTCCACATTGGATACAGCTGATGATGCATTTGGTGCTAGAATTTGCAATAATATAAAGGAGTGTTCCAAGTTTAATCCATATGTAGTGTAGATGAAGAACAGAAACTGAAACTACTACATAAGACTAACATCTAGAGCATGAGCTATTCAAAACCAGCCATGTGCAGACTTGCTGGTCTTTTACTCCCCGAGAGTCGACATACATCTAGAGACTGACAGTTTTAATACAACAGGATACATATTTACAAATTGGAGCAGAGTCCATTTAAGTATTTGTAGAAACAACAGCAGAGACCATGGTGTCCATTCCACAGGCATTGTAACCACTGCAAACCTTGTAGTAGCCATCCTCTCCCCAGTTTGCACCCCATGAATTCTTAATAATCCAGTATGGCTTGTCCTTGAACCTCAGAGGTGCATACCCAGCAGCTCCATATCCAACAAGAAGAACACCATGATCCAATCGCTGCTTTGAGCAAATATATGGACATGATACTTTACCAACATAGGTTTGCATCCAAGCTGCATTAATCCCAACTGCAAATACCAGAATGAATCTTGGTTAGCTGAGTGATCAGAGATAGGGTTACCAAAATAGGGAGAGAGATATTTACTTGCAAGAGGGCCATTCTTGACAAGATTGGCAGCGATTTGGTCTTCATCTGTGGAAACGACACTGAAGTTGGCGACAGATGCAGCAATTTTGGACTTGTCAAAGTGGCAGGTACCATCTTTTCCGGTGTAGGGGTAATCTGCTTCTTTCTGAACACCACCTGCCTTGAGTATGTACTCAAATGCATTGTTCATCAGTCCACCGTTGCATCCAGAGTCGCATGAATTGTATTCTGCTGGATCACACTGCCAAAGAAGTGGAAGCATCGTTAGTTAAGATATATTCATTCATTAATTACCAATCAAATTAAACAAACCAGAAGATAGTGGAAATGGAAGGACAAACCTCATGATCACAATCCACAAGCTGTTGTTCGCTCAAGCTAACTAACTCCCCAGTTTGAAGGAAGTGAGATCCTTCCAAAGCTCCTGTGGTACTAAAGGACCAACACGATCCACATGAACCCTACAACCAAACCTCATAAATTTAATTAACATATACCAAGTGATTTTGACATGTATTTATCCCCAATATGAACACGGACCATTTCATCTTTATCTACTGTCTAAAATTATCGCTGTGATCTGAAAAGTCAAACCAAGGAATAGTTATCTATATTATTGAGCACCTGATCTTTGACGGCAGTAACAGCGCCATGGTCGCGCCAGTCAAAGTCTTCCGGAAGATTACTGGTCGGAAGAATCGGAGCTTTGTTAGCATCGGTTGGAAGCTTAAGAGGACTTTTCAAGCCGAGGTATTTCTGGCGGAACTCCGACGGGGTCAAATCGGAGAACTTAGTAACGCCATGCTCGGCTGTAGGATCCAGCAGCTGATGACGCTTAGCACGGAGAATGTTAGACTTGAAAACGGACAGACGGTAGTCGTGCTCCTCCTCAGTAGCATAGGTCTTGCCAAACTTGCTCTTGAAGATACTGAAGTGGTGCTCGGCGTTCAGGAGATCGTCGGCAGCCTGTTCTTCCTCCGGGACGACTTGACGGATCTTCGGATCAGATGAGGATACATCACCGCCTATGGCGTTGGTGGCGGAGAAGAGGAGGAGGAGGAGGGAGAAGAAGGACAAGAGAGAACGACGACCCATCGTGAAGTGATATTTTGGTATCAAGTATCTGATGCTCCAATTATACTGGTTCGGATAAGAGGGTAGGTGAGTTCCAGCCGTTGATATGCCGACACGTTTCAGTATCTCATTTACCAGATGAGTATCTTTTCTAGATAATCGCGTGCAGGATTGAGAAACAATACTTAATTTCCGGATGGTCCTCAAAAAATATGCATGTAACACTTTGGTCCTCCATGTTTATTTTTTAACATTAACTAATCATATGAAAAATCTTGTCATAATAAAAGTTAAAATGAGAAGCGTAAGAAGTGATCTGAACCATTGATTACTTTTAATCTTATCCTCACCCCATGAATTCCGCTTGATCTGGGAATTGATCAGATGCATCTTGGTACATCTCATTAGTGTTCGTTTGGTTTGTAGGAATGTTTTTGAAGGATTTAGATTTCATGGGAAGATTTGGATTTAGATGGATTTGCAATGATGAATTTAAAATCACTGGTGTGTTTTGGTTTATAGGATTTGGAATGGAATTAGATTACATTATTAATAAATAATTTGTAAAAAATTATAAAAAATTATAAAAATAATTAAATTACATTTTTATTAATCGATTATTACAAAACAAAGGTTTTTAATATTTTTCGAACCTTATTGCATATAATCCTACGAATCCCGTGAAATCCCGAGCACCCCATAAGGATTTCAAAATTCTAACTAAATCCTAGAATTTGAAATCCGGACAATCCAACAAACCAAACATGGGATTGGAATGGATTTGAAATCCAAATCCCCTTAAACACATTCAATATCCTACAAACCAAACAGAACCTTAGTATTGATCTTCGATTAGGATTTGATCCAATGTTCAAGATCCCTTCTTATCTATTTTGCAATAAAATTACAAATTTAAAATATCAATGAAACAAAACTTTTAAGAAGTCAACATGAGGCATGTTCCATTGCTAGCTAAAGGGACCGTTTACCAAACACTTACCCAGATAAGCGCTTACAAGTAACATTATCTCATCGTATGAATATGGTAAGGACCGAGAATCTTACCCGGTAAGAACGAGACAAGGACCAAGAGTTTTATATGGTAAGTGAGGGCAACGACTCTTACCACGGTAAACGCTTACCGGGTACATTGTTGCATACGATGTCGTTTTGGTGGACTAAAATCTTACCCGGTAAAAAAAATAATAGTGTTAAATTTAACCGGTAAGCACTAACCGAGTAAGTGTTTGGTAAACGGCTCCTAAGTTACACATGAGACTTAATTGTCTATTGTGTCTTATCTGAAGTCTGCTTACAAAAATTAAACTTAAGTTAATAACTTGTTATTGATTTGATTTCAGAACACTCTTATGTAAGCTCGGTTTTAATGTCTAAACATTTAAAGGCTTGGGCGTCATTTGATTTGTTTGTCTTGGAATGTAAATGGATATTCCTTTTCGGTAAACCAAGTATCATACCAACTACCATTTGTAAGCAAATTTTGCTATTAATACTAATTGTTCAAACTCGAAAGCAAAATTAAGCAATGAGGTACTAAATTTTAAGTTTGCAGGGCAGACCATCAAAGAATTAGACATTCTCTTCAACTTAGATTTGATTGTTTGAGACCAAATTATGCATGTTGTCTGTAGTACATTTCTTAGTATGTTCTCCCGTTAAGCTACTCTGCTTTCATTTATTACACATCTTTTTTTCATTATAAGCGTTACATTTGCACCAAGTTGGATGTATTTTGTTTTATAGGAGTTTGGTAGCTAGTAAAATATGCCCAAAAAGGAAACCCGGTGACAGTCTTTTTTTCGTTTCCTTTACACTTAAAGAAGTGTCAACACCTCCACTTGAGGATGCAAAAAGTGATAACCCCGATCGGGGTCTTCTGATGGTTTCAGTTGGCTCTACATTAAGTGCATTGATTATGAAACTAATAGAAATGTAGGGACTAGAGTTATCCTTCTCAATAAAGTAACCATTTAAGTTGCATCCTTCTGCATTTTCTAATACTAGAAACGTACTCGCGCAATCCAGCGAGATAAATCGTGATTTTAATATTTCATTTTATTATTTATCTCAGTCGATGTTATAATATGCCTTTATGTTATTTTGAGAAAGCGATGATGTTTTTATTTTTGAATAAAATATATGTTTGAAGATATCATAAAAATTTAACAAAAATATATCGATATTAGTATCAA